CTTTATAAAGTTTGGTTATTAACCCCTTATCAGATGTATATTTGGCAAATATCTTATCCCATTCAGTAGGCTTTAAACGCTGCCTTTAGTTATCTGAAGCCACTGGTATAAAGTTAAAAACCAACTCTTGAGTAGGTCCTCACAGTCTGAAACTACCACTTTTTGCTGACAAGTCCATATCTTTATGTTAAGCCCAGATCACTCTCTGAGTACTAGATATGTCTATTCAACTCTTTTTGGATGTCCCACATACACTCCAAACCTTCCACCAGAGACCCAGGAAGCATCCTTAACTCCTTCTCCTTCCTCTCACCTACATTCATTTTGTTACCATCTCTTGTTAATTCTGCCTCTCAAATAATTGTTTAGTTGGCACCCCTTCTTTTGTCTTGTTTTCTACAGTAGCCTCAATTAATTTCTTTAATACCATCTCCACACACCACACACAGTGATCGTTCTAAAACACAGATTTCATCATGTTACTTCCCTGCTTAAAATCCTTTAAGGCCTCTCTGTTGCCCACAGAAGTCTAAATTCTTAAATATGGCACCTGAGGCCTTCCACAACCAGGTCCATCGCCACTTCTTCATCTTTAATTCCTGCCACTACCCCGTAATTACCAGTAAGATGTTTCCCAATGCACTTCCTCCACACACAACAGGCTAGTTTATGCCTCTGTGCCTTTGCTCATGCTAATCTTTCTGCCTCATACTCATTTCCTCTCTTCTTGACTCATCTAATTCTTACGTGCTGTTCAAAATAAAGCTTCAGAAACTCTTCCTTTCTCATCAGGTTAGGCTAAGAAGCACTGTAAGGTGCTTTCATTGTGCCTGTACTTGCTCTATCATTAACAGCACTTTATGCTGAAGTGCTCTCCTGAGGTACCCACCTCTTATCCTCATTGGTGTCCTCAGTGCCTGTCAGTGCCAGGCAGGCATACATTAGGTGCTTGAACTGAACTAACCACTGGAAAACTGCCACCAGTGTTCCTGTGTCTATTTGATTCCCAAATCACATTTCCATAAGGTTGGGCATTCACATCCTCACTTGCTCTGGGTGGGAAGACTGCCTCTCTGATATTTCCCGAACAACTCTTCACTCAGAAGCATGAGCATCCTGGATCATTTGCCCCACTAAACCTCCCAGGTGTTATCCTGACCTGCCTTTTCACCTCCAATATGCTACGCGATTCAGGAGGCTTCTGGACACTCCTAGAGACCTGCTCTTCAGCAGATCTTTCTTTTAACCTATGAGATCATTTTTCAAGCAGCATCAAGTGTTTCCATTTGTGGCAGTCTGGGCCTCTGGGCCTATTTTCCATTGAAGAAAGGGGCTGCTGGCCATGAGTGAATCTCCAGAGCCATCTGGATGTAGGGTAGCTCTTATCACCAGGGCAGTGTGTGTATGTAAGCATGTACACATGCCAGCATATAGGCTCCTCTAATTTCTCTGATGATCCCTGCAGTGTAGACACTGAGGCTGCCCACATTGGTCTGGCCTCATCTCATGCGGGCACTAGGACACCCTCAGGTGAAAGGAGTCACACATCCAAAATATGAGAGACTCCCTGCATGTCTGTCTCTGCCTTTCTGTGGGGCTTCCTCTCTCTCGATGTGGGGATGGAGCTTATAAAACATCGCTCCTGACACTAACCCTGGTGGTTACAATCTGTCTGCTCTGAAACATAAGGAAGAGCTCTTAGAAAGGAGAGCCTCAGACTTGCTCTGGGGTGCACTCTAAGATTTACCAGAAGATGTCACTGTAGACCGAAACCAGCAAAACAAATTAGGGCAGGAAGACCTTCAGCTAAGCATGAAGGTGACTCCATTATGGGGATTTAAAACACCCAGCAGCCCCATTATAATGCATGTCTAAAAAAGCTGGTTGAAAGAGTAATCCAAATGTATCACTGGACTTCATATATTTCTTTTTTTCCCAAATAATCAGACTAATTGCCACTAAGCTATCGCCTCAGGTCTAGAATAAAGGCTTGATAAATATGTATTGAATAAATGAATGAATCAATCAATCATACTAAAACTATGAGTGGAAGGAGGGAGCCCATGGGAACAGTAGTCACCTTTGTTGGTAAAGACTGCTGGAAAACAAAAGCTGCTACTCATTAGCATGTGTGCTTACTGAAATGAATTTCATTGACACCAGCAAAGTCGGGTCCTAAGAAAAGCAGAGAGATAGGTGAAGGTGGTCTTGGCCCTTTCCCCATCCTTACTCCCAGATGTTTCTCCTGTGCCCCATGCTTGTTTATTCCAGAAAACATATAAGGTAATTTTAAAAGACTTTCTGTGGGGGGCCGGCTGAGTGGTTCAGTTGGTTAAGAGCGCGAGCTCTGAGCAACAGGATCGCTGGTTCGATTCCCACATGGGCCAGTGAGCTGCGTCTGGGCTGAGCTGCAGCTGAGCTGCCGACAGGTGGCTGGATGGCTCAGTGGTTAGAGCATGCGCTCTTAGCAACAGGGTTTCCGGATCAACTCCCGCATGGGCTGGTGGGCTACGCCCACCCGCAACTAAGATTGAACATGGCACCTTGAGCTGAGTGGCTGCAAGCTACCACCAGGCAGCCGGATGGCGACTGGACTTGGAGCTGAGCTGGCTGCGCCCTCCACAACTGGGACTGAGGGACAACAACTTGGCTGTTCCCCTTCCCCAATTCTCCAAACACTGTTTCCCTTCCCCAATTCCCCAATAAAATCTTTTAAAAAATAATAACTTTCTGTGATTTTTGACAAGGCACTTACAAGATTATCCAGAGTTTTTATATGATGAAGCACATCCTTCGTAGTTCCTAACCCTCTTCCCCCTCTTCTCTAGAATAGTTCATCAGATAAGCAATTAAAGGAGTTACTGAGATTCTGCTGTGTGTCTGGTATAAAGGCCAAGGTACAAAGCTGGAATGGGTGGGATGAGAGTTGTAGAAGAGTAACACAGAGCCCCTGTCCTGGAAAACAGAGTTTAAGCAGAAATACAAACAAGTAATTTCAATTCAGTATCAAATGTGTTGTTTTTGGGTTTTTTTAAGATTTTTTATTGGGGGATTGGGGGGAGGGGAACAGACAAGTTGCTGTCATTTTGTTCTTCAGTCTAGTTGTGGAGGACGTTGCTTCACTGGCCCAAGTTGGCACCATCATTGCGCTCTTCTCTGGCGAGGCAGATCAGTCGCCGGCTTCTGGACGGCCGCTCACTGCGGCTTCTGGCCGCTCACACTGGCTGCTGGCCACACACGGTAGCCCATGGCAATCCACTGCAGCAGGGGCTGCAGCCGATGCTGTCTCCGGCGACTCAGGGCAGTCCAGCTCCAGGTTGAGCTGTTGTTCAGCATCTTAGCTGTGGAGGGCGGTGCCACTGGCCCTCATATGTGGGATCCGAACCAGGGCCCTCTGGCATCCCAAGCCAGTTCTTAACCATCGTGCCACTTGGCTGGCCCTCAAAGGTGTTTTAACACAGGTTAAGTGTGGAAGTGCTATGGTGACACAGGGAAGAGGTGATGGCTGGCAGCAAGGGATTGGGTAGATTTTCTCAGAGGAGAGACAGTACTTAGATTAGAACTTGAAAGATGAGTAGAGTTTTCCAGTCAAAGAAGGAAGGTCACATCAGGGAGAGGAAACGCCGTGCACAGAACAGGGGCATACAGGATAGCTCCCGAGTTACTCAAAGCCCACAATTTGGGTGAAACGTTTCCTCCGAGGACATCAGCCAGCAGATTCAGCCATTCGGGTGGTTGAGGTGGTTCCTTGTGGCAACCCGTGCATGTGGACAGAGCCACCACCTCGTCAGATGGGAATGAATAACCTTCAGAAAAGCTTCAAGCCATTCCCCAGATTTCCTTTAAGAAACTAAATGCTAATGTTTAGTGTTTATTGTTGTTTTCCTTCCACAATATGCCCTTCCATGTTCTCATCTTTCATCTACTGAACCTGAGTGGAAACCCGTTTCTTGTTAAAAGCCCACCCCAGGCTTGTTTCCCCCCTTGAGTATGCATGATCACATCATAGGCCTTAACGTTTCTGGGGTGTGGTGCGTGTGTGTGCACCTGCTGTGTATGGGTGTGTGTGGGTGTATGGTTTAAATGTTTGCTAGTCTGCTATTTGAGCAAAAAGCTTTATCAGGTTGCAGCTGTAAAGTGAAGATAGTTGCATAGCAAAGCCTCCACTCTTTCTGACATCAAGGTGTCCTTTCAGTGGGTAAAGAAAAGGGACATTTCAATGCTGATAGAGTTAACTTTCCTACCCTGGGAAAATTATCATGTGAGCAAAGGCTGAAACTAAGGTGGTAGCTTGCATATATGCCATTGGCAGATACCGTGTCTATTTCAGTCAGTGATTAACTACAATGTTTATTTCTGGAGGCCCAGGCCTGCTCTGCCTATTGCTACATTCCACTTCCATAATGTATGAGCTATGATGTTATGACAACAACCAGAATCAAAGATATCATTATCAGACACTCTTTCAAAGAGCTTTTGTTTTTTGAATAAGATATCCTGATTAGAGTGGATATTGGAAAAATGCTTTTGTACATTTAGGAAGAAATATTAGAATTCGTGCTCACTTATCCATTCCATATGACTTCAATAAAATCACTTCTACTGAGTCTCCATTTCATGATCAGTTAATTGGGGTTTATGGGTGAGGGTATGAAATAAAATGGTTGCCTACCTAAGAAATGAGGTCATTGGCAGGATTGTGTTATTGGTTGGGGAGAGAGAAACAGAAGGCAAGGGAAAAGAGGGAGGGAACAAGGATAAGACAGATGTCTTGGGCCTAAACTTTTTATACCAGCAAATTAGGTGAAAAAATAGCTGTACTGGCTAGTGGGGCTCAGAGAGGGGACTACAGCACAGTTCACAGGAGAAATGCCACTACATCTCCATCATTCTCCTTTTGCCTTCCTTACTGGCCAGTGAACATCACATATGCCATGCACCTCCCTGATGCCACTTATGTCACCCACATCTCTGACCGTTGGTTCATGCTTTGTCCATAGGAACTTCCACTACATCACCATCCTCCGAGACCCAGTATCCCGGTACTTGAGTGAGTGGAGGCATGTCCAGAGAGGGGCAACATGGAAAGCATCACTGCATGTCTGCGATGGAAGGCCCCCAACCTCGGAAGAGCTGCCCAGCTGCTACACTGGTGATGACTGGTCTGGCTGTCCCCTGAAAGAGTTCATGGACTGTCCCTATAATCTAGCCAACAACCGCCAGGTGCGCATGCTCTCTGACCTGACCCTAGTAGGCTGTTACAACCTCTCTGTCATGCCTGAAAAGCAGAGAAACAAGGTCCTCCTAGAAAGTGCCAAATCGAACCTGAAGCACATGGCATTCTTCGGCCTCACTGAGTATCAGCGGAAGACCCAGTATCTGTTTGAAAAAACCTTCAACATGAACTTTATTTCACCATTTACCCAATATAATACCACTAGGGCCTCTAGTGTAGAGATCAATGAGGAAATCCAAAAGCGTATTGAGGGACTGAATTTTCTGGATATGGAATTGTACAGCTATGCCAAAGACCTCTTTCTGCAGAGGTATCAGTTTATGAGGCAGAAGGACCATCAGGAAGCTAGGCGGAAGCGTCAGGAACAACGCAAATTTCTGAAGGGAAGGATCCTTCAGACCCATTTCCAGAACCAGTTTCAGGGCCAGAGCCAGAATCCAAGTCAAAATCAGAGTCAGAATCCAAATCTGAATGCAAATCAGAATGTGACTCAGAATCTGATTCCAAATCTGATTCAGAACTTGACTCAGAGTTCGAGTCAGAATTTGAGCCAGAAAGAGAACCAGGGAAGCCAGAAGCAGAACCCAGGCCAAGAACAGAGCGATAGCAACACCAGCAATGGCACCAATGACTACATAGGCAGTGTAGAGAAATGGCGTTAAACGGCTCCCAAAGGCTTTTGCACACTTCTCCCAAAGCGTCAGTTAAAATATGGCAAATCTTAAAAGATGAGTGTATCCAAACACATCCTGCTTCCTTAAGTGTGGAAGTTAAAAAAAAGTTAAGATGTTGCCTTTACAGTTGCCTTCCAATTAAATGTTATAATGTGCGTGGGTAAAACACATTTCAGTATGTAATTAAATTGTCTTTTTTGGTTTGTTGGAGTATTTATAAATCCAAACCAGACTCACCAGAAATTGCTGTTTAGATATTTTAAGAAGTTCTTAAATTACAGAGACAAATGAAAACAAAATGTGGCCATTTAAGTTATGGCTAAGAAATGGACTTCAAATTATTTATGATACACTATTAAAACTCAACCTTGGAAGCAAACATTTTGTTTCCCCCAGGGGTAAGCATGAATATAAACATAAAACATCTAAAATTAAACACAAAACCTTTATTTTCTTCTGATTTTAACAAGGAATCTATTTAAATGGAATAAGAAGTAATGGTAAATTTTACTGAACTGTAGAAACTGAAAAATTTCTCTCCCAAACATGGCAAGTTTTATGTAAAAATACTGGCTTTTCAAGTAGAACAGGACTCATATCTTGTTATTGAAGAGATGTTTAAAATTTTAAACTTTTTCTACCTTCTACTGTTCAAAGGTTTTAAACAGGGTGTATCTCATGTTAACAAAACACTTTTTTTCCGACTGGAATACCAATGTAAAGATTTAATTTCCAGACGCTTCCTGGGCACTGTAATTTCAACAATTCTGGATCTTTTTGGCGCTGCTTCTCATTCATTTTAAGGCTTCTCTGAGTTGTGCTCATTCCAAACTAACCCATTTATAGACTCTTTCTTCGTCATCTAAATGGTGTGTTGCTGAATTTATTGTGATATATAATCCTGGATTAAAGTCAGGACTTTCTATAGAATTGTCTTATCAATGTTTGTGTAGTGAGGTCCTTATCAAGAAACTCTTGAACAGGATGATGTGTCTAAAAATATTGCTGAAGTTATTCTTGATCAGATAGAATTGAACCCGAATGTGAATAAACTTGTTATTTACTTTTTGTATATTTTTATTGTAATGTTTCCAGTTGGGCTGACTATTTCTAGCCCATTAGTTCTTTTTCATGTTGACAAATTGTAGACAATTACAAGAGAAAAACAATGGTAGAATAAACATTAAGAAAGCCAGAGTTATTCAGTAACACCAAAAGCTGTATCTCAATACTTTGGTTAACCCTCTACCAGGTTTTGTTTTAAGAAAGAACAAAAGGAAACTGTTCTGCAGTGAGGTTAAGTATCAGCCTAGCAATTGAGGAAATTGATTTAGTATTGTAAGTCAATACATAAATACTTTTAAGGTATCAATTATGAATTGAGCAGGGCAAAAAACATGTATGTAACCCACTGTGCTATGAAACATCATGGTCCCATAAAGTTTCCATTTTACAGGTTTGCTGTACTTTTATAAGAACTTACACTACCCTCCTGGCTGTTGATCAAACGAGGCAACTGAATGTGGCATTTGTTTTCAGGAAGGTCATGCTTAGAAGTGTGACCATAAAGTCACATCGTGTACAATCTGCTTATTTGCATGATCTAGTTTCACCTGTAATAATATGGCCACAAGCTGGAAACGAACTTATTTGGGTTTAAAAATAAATGTTCTTGACCCTGAGCTTGTATTGTTATATCTAAATTTTGCTTTGTCTGCCAGTAGCAGTCCTGGGAATTCTGAGAACTGAAAAACTGAAAGGAATTTTAAAAAAATCAAACACTCCTTGAAGTCAAAGTGTTTTAGAGCGAAGCTATTTTGTATACATTGTGTTTTTAAAATGCAAATTCTGTAGATCACTGTGGTATTTCAATTTCGTTTTGTTTTAATTGATGTTTGCTCTTAAAACTGTTGGAAAGCAGGATGAAGCCTGAGCCAGTGGAAAAGCTTGTTACAGAAAATCATTGTGTGTTATTGCTGTGGTGTGCATGGTTTGCAGAGATTAAGTGCATTTTCTCTGTCTATAACTGATTATTGTATATAGGGGATGTTATAAATATACATTTTTGTCAGCATCATGTAAATCCCATGATTTCAACTGTAAACATCTGTCCAATGGTGTGGCTTTACAAACCATTCACTGATTTTGTGTAATTTAACAGTAGATATGAAATAAAGTTTAAATTGCAGGCTCTGAGTAATTTCATGACTTCAGTTGAGGTTTGCAGCCTCTAGACATTATGACATCAGAGACAGAATTCTCTTTTCTCAAGGAGTTCCTTTTCTCCTCTTGGCCACCAGATAGGTAAATGAGACGGTCCATTTTAATCTATCACACTAAAATGGACTTAGCTTTGGGTGCTTCCTTCTGGGAGTTCACACTCTTTTCTCTTTTGAGTACAACAAAGTTGTTGATGAAAGCCAAGGTTTGGTATGTATCCAAGTCAGCTCGGACTGCTATAACAAAACACCATTAACTGGGTGGTTTATCAACAGAAACTTATTTCCCACAGTTCTAGAGGCTGAAAAGTCTAAGACTGAGCTGCCAGCATGGTCAGGTTCTAGTGAGAACCCCCTCCTCTCCATTGCAGAATGCTGTCTTCTTGCTGTGTCCTCACGTGGCAGAAAGCTAGCTAACTCTCTGGCCTCTTTTTATAAGAGAACTAATCCCATTCATGAGGGCTCCACACTCATCACCTGTGAGTAATTACCTCCCAAAGGCCCTACATCCAGATACCATCTAGATATCACTGGGATTAGGGTTTCAACATATGACATTTGGGGGGAGGACACAACATTCAACCCATTATACTATGCAAATAAAATGTGTGTGTTTTCATTTAGGATTTATGAAAGTAGCATGTCTAAGAGCACACGGAAAGGAAAAATAGCACTCCTTATTTCTTACCTATCCCCTCTGATCACAGGATAGAAGTTAAAAGTAAGCAATAAAGTATTGTCTTTTAAAGTTGCGGAATACAATATGCTCTAATTATATTCAGTGTATATATTTTTCCAAACAAACTTATGCTTAGGCTTATAGATAGACATGATTCTTTCCGTTTTCCAAAGAGAATTTAGATATCCATTCCATAAGATTAGAGGGAAGAAAGCTACACATTTGATGGATTTACTATACTCAGCCTGTATACTATTTATACCTAGAAAGTTTTGCCTAACTGTTTATTGGGTGACCAAAGGTCCTGATTTTATAAAGGTCCCACGGCATTTTGGGAGGAACAGTGAGCAGGAACATAAAGGCCAAGAATTTGAAATACTTAGGGAATAAAGGCTGTGTCCTTTTTCCCTTGAGGAGGGTACTCTTGAGAGACCAAGTTTCTCTTACTGAAGTGGGGAACCCGTAGAAGACCTGCACTATGATTCAGATCACAAGGTCAGTGTTGGCTACTAAAGCTATTAAGGTACCCCAGAGAGGAGCTATAATGAAGAAATAACTCATCGGCCCAGTCCCTAAGGACTTAGGATTCTCAATAGGAGTTATAACTAAGTAAGAGCACTTTGTGGGGTGGGAGGGCTACCAGATCTGCCACACTTGGTGGGATGATTTTCTTCAGCAGGGAGAGGGGTGAAAAGAGGCATAAAAGCATCACATGACAGGCTTGAGACAAGTACAGTCTTCCCGTGCCTGAGACGCAGAAGAGACCAACAGAGTGGTCCAGAGTGGTGATGTGCAACCCACAGCTTTCTTGCACTGTCCTAAGGAGGAGTTTCTTCTATCTTGGCTTCACTAAGGATTATGCAAACAAAAACAAGGTATTTGTGAAAAGTCTAACAAGACACAGAGTGTGCTGAGTTCAAATGTAACCCCATGTGACTGTGGACTACGGCAATTCTAATTTCTCAAATGGCAAGAATGATGTGAGCTGACAGTCTTAAATGTCAGAGGAGTCCAATCAACACCTTAAAAATCCTAAAGTAAATTTATGACACATCAATCAGACCTTCACAAATCTTCAAAACCCTCAGAACTGCCAGAGAATAGTATCTTGAAAACAAAGCAGACCAGCTCTTTCTCAGTGCAAGAGATGCTGTTCTGAGCAGCTAGACCAGGGGTCAAAAACTATGGACCTGGGCCAAACGCAGCCCTCCACCTGCTTTTGTAAATACAATTGTTTTGGAACTCAGTCATGCACATTCTTTACATATTTCCTCTGGCGGTTCTCATACTACAGAAGCAGAAGTAGTTGCAACAGAGATGTTTTGACCTGAAAAGCCTGAAGTATTTACTTTCTTGCCCTTGAAAGAAACCATTGATCAACCCTTGAGTTAGAGAGCCAATCAAAACTTCCTAAATAGTGAAATCTTGTCAAAGTTTACAATGAGCCCAGAGTCTGAGAGAATAAAGAAGTGTGATTCAAACAACATACTTCCCAATAACACACACTAAGTACATTTACTGAGTATTTGTTACATGAAAGTCACTGCATTAGGCTTGAGAACAGGGAAGAATCTAATATTTTCTCCCAGGAATATGGAAATCTAAACCAAACTCTGTATCAGAGAGTATAGTTAAAAACTTAATTAGTTCTTCAGTGTGTGTGTGTTTGATCACATGGTTTTTAAAAATTAAAACAATATAGAAGTATGTAAAGTAAAAAATGAAATTACCTGCACAACTCTCACTCCCCCAAAATAACTTGTATAATTATGTGATTTCTTCCAGACCTTCTTGTCTTATCACATTCCAATTTCTCTCTCTCTCTCTCTGTCTGTCTCTCTCTCTCTCACACACACACACCCACATACAATAGTGATAGGAAAAATGAAACCATATTGTTATTGTTATTCAACTTTTTTAAAAAAGAGATCAATAGTATATTATATGTTTCCTTCTTAAAATGGAACATAATGGGTAGCTTACCCTGAGCCCCCAAAACTGAGTACTGCTGATGTTATAGTTTGAGAGCATAGGCCCTGGATCCACACTGCCTGGGTTTGAATCCCAGCCTCACCACTTACCAGCTTTGTGAACTTGGGAGGTCACTAACCTGTCCACGCTTCAGTTTCCTCCCCTGTAAATGGAAAATATAATAGCTCCAACTTCAGAGGGGTGTTGTGAGACTTAAATGAGTTCATATTTATAAAGCACTTAGAACAGTGCCTGGCACAGGATGAGCCTAATATGTATTTGATAGTATTATCATTATCATGATTACTGTTATTAGTGTGAAGGCTCAATGTCTGATAAATGCCCATGTCTTTAATAGCTACAGATTGACTCTGGGATCAAGAATTGAAAATATTGGCAAGGAAATAAGCACAAAGTAGTATATGTCCTATTGTGACTAATTTTAAAAAAACCTAAAAATATAAAATATATATATTACAAATGTTACATAATTAAATGTATACAGGTCTATCCTAAGGTTTACTTCTGAGTTTTGAATGTAGCCAGTGACAGAAGTATTCTGAAAGATCTAATCTACAAAATGCCAAGTGAGTCATCGATACTCTCTCCAGCAATGAAAATGCATTATCTGATGGCCCTGGCTGATCTGGGATCTACTTTATTGCACTTAGCGAAGGATGATTCACCACCAGCCCCCTTCCTTTCCCACCCACCTCTCCACCCAGTATTACCAGAGTATGTGGGCCTGTTTGCACAATGAGATCTGAGTGGGGCCCAAAGTTCTAACCGCCTCAAACAGGTCTGAGATGGCGCCTAGAATTCCCACACTCCAAGTCTCTACTCCGGGTGAATGCAGCCTGTCCAGAAGACCCTATTAAAATGCATATATGCCACTTAGGAGGGAGAAGGCCCAGTAACCATGAAAAGTTAGCACGTACTAATTTATCAGGTTAGCAGTCACAAAGGGCCCTCCGGGAAGGCAACACACACGGCTTGTAAATTCAGGTAGCTCACTTCACTTTAAAAAACGAAAAGGAAAAAGAATCGTTTTCTTCTATCCCATTTGAATTTTAAAATTTTGATGTTGTTGCCTTAAGGGCAGGATATGGCTCAATAATCCTCATCAAGTCTCATTAAGTTGTATAAATTCTATGCTCATTATGCCTGGTTAAATCTTGTGACTTTACTAAACTTGGTAAGATTTAATGATGCCTAACTGGGCCTAAGAAAAGTTTAACAGTTTTTGTGACTTAAAAATGCTCTACTGGATTTCATGTGACTTAAGAGGACGTGAGAGGAAGTGTCAAGTCTAAAAGGGGAGTGCTGTCAAAGCTTGGTAGGATCAAGCCAGCCAGCTGGAGCCAATCCTATCCAGCCTTTTTAATGGATTGATTCAAACACATGAGTGTGGTTTTTCTCAGGCCTGAAAGAGTTCTTCTGTCCCTGAGACTAGCTAGGACAGGATCGTGTACCCATCAGGTTCCTTGGGATTACATGGCAACGACTTCGAGAATTTGATCGGAGAGAGATTTAGGCTTCACAAAGCTTCGCAGGTAGGAAGGAAGGTTAAGTAAGGAGCCTCAGCACTGACTAGTCAAGACGAATAGGATTTATCAAGAATGAGCTTGACTCAACAGGCATCAGGAGTTTCCAACACTCCCCAGCGCCCAGTGCAGTTGACACCATTCTTTCCCCCACACTCCCAGGAGCTTAGCAGGGTGCAGATTGTTTTGATTTCCTAGCACTCCCACTTTAAGCCAGGTTTCTCTGTTGCCTACCTGGATGGTAACAATACCTTCACCATTCTCCAGTCCTCAGCCTTCTTCTTGCCCACCCCCCTCATCTTCCTAACACTGTGTCTCACAGCCTAACTTATGAACCTGTAGCCTCAGAATGCTCCCTGATGTTTTTGTTTAAAGATGCAGATTCCCTGGGCCCCACTACAGAGGTTCTGAATCAGGATCTCAGGTGCAGAGTGAGAGGTTCTGCCTTTTCGGTGAGATTCTATGCTTCTAAGATGCTTCGGGAAACTGGAGAGCTACGACCTAAATCATACGTCTGATTCCCACCCTGTTCTTCTCAGAAAGCATTGGGGGCTCTCCACTATCTGAAGATAGACGTCCATATTCAGATAAGTGCACGTCCATACTCAGATAAAAGTTTGACCCCCACGCTCTTTCCAGACTTGCCATTGAATGCCACCCTACATGAACTTGAACCTTTGCTTCAGCAAAAGTTCTTTACTCCTTATCCCAGGCATGGGCCTTCCAAAATGAATTTGCACAGGGGTTTTTGAGGTACCATTAATTCTAACAAGCTATATATAA